TGCCGCTGCAGATCCGCATGAAAATCCATGCAGCCGCACAGAGCAATGCGGACCCGCAGGCAGGTGCCATTAGTTCTAATGGCATGCCGCCCGCACTGGAAAACGCAACCGTACTGGGAACTGAGGTTCCCATGCGGGCTGCGTTTTCAGAAGTGCAGGGACTTCTCTGCGTGTCACGGGGCACTGGAGTCTATTCAAATGAATGGCCCGCACGGCCACATATATGTGAACCAGGGCTTAATGGTCAGTATTTATAGTCTTATATTAAAACAGAGTTCCACTCAAACTTGGAAGCTCCGCTTATTTGTCTCCCCCCCCCCCCTCCACTGTCATATTTGGCACCTTTTGGGGGGGGGGGGGGGGGGAGCGGGTACCTGGTTTTTGACAGGTACCCGCTCCCACTTCCGGCTCAGTTCGTTGCAGTGAAGTGAGCCAGAAGTTCAGCCCCCTCCTCTATCCCACAGTCTTCTGGGAACTTTCACAGATCCCAGGAGCCTGCCAGACCAATCAGGAGACGCGGTCCGACTTGCGCATGCGCAGTGGGCACCAGGCTGTGAAGCCGAAAGCTGTCGTAGCCTAGTGCCCACAGTAGAGATGCCAGCGCTGGGGAGGGGAGAAGGGACAGCCTGGGTGAGTACATCGCTTGACCTCAGGACAGGTAAGTGTGTGTTTATTAAAAGTCAGCATCTACAGTTTTTGTAGCTGCTCACTTTTAATAAACCTCAGAACGGCTGGAACTCCACTTTAATTTCCACATTGCATTTCAATTATTTCTAGTCTATTTCTATTCATCTGAATGATCTTGAAGTTTGTAAAGCCAATTTGTGACGATCCCCAGACATTTATTTCCTGGAACTCTGTGACCTGTAGTCACTATGTCCTGTAATACGCACTGCTGTGTCATGCATTTCACAGAGCCTGCCTTCTGAACTACAGAGGTGCTGATGGGAGGAGTTTTTAGGGGGCGGAGTCAGTACAAGAATCACTGCTTGTAGGCAGTAAGGTACCATGGGATATGTAGTCCTTAGAAATGATATAGAAGCTGCAAAGCATGCAGGGAATCTGGGGAAGTTGGGGAAAGAGATGGCCAGCAGACAGGCAGAACTCACAACATGAATAGAGATATTTCAATGCTACACTTGTTTATTTTGATATTACATTGCTGATGTTATCAAATCAAAGTGTATGCTGTGACCATAGAAATCCTTGAACAATTATAGAACCAAATGACACACTGACACTTGGGGGTCCAGAACAATGACACGCTGACACTTGGGGTCCAGAACAATGACACACTGACACTTTGGATCCCGAAACAATGACACACTGATACTTGGGGGTCCAGAATAATGACACCATGACACTTGTTGGTCTCAGAACAATGACACACTAACACTTTGGATCCCAGAACAATGACACACTGACACTTTGGATCTCAGAACAATGAGACACTGACACTTTGGATCCCAAAACAATGACACACTGATACTTGGGGGTCCAGAATAATGACACACTAACACTTGGGGATCCAGAACAATGACACCATGACACTTGTTGGTCCCAGAACAATGACACACTGACACTTTGGATCTCAGAACAATGACACACTGAAATTTTGGATCCCAGAGCAAAGACACACTGACACTTGTTAGTCCCAGAACAATAACACACTGATACTTGGGGATCCAGAACAATGACACACTGACACTTGGGGGTCCAGAACAGTGACACACTGACATTTGGGGGTCTCATAATGTAATCACAGTGGAGTTGCATTTTCTATCTTGATAATTTTTTTTGTGTTACACTTGGTGCCAGGGCCAACTTAATGCACTGCCCAGGGAGGGGCCCCGGGTATGTGTGGTCCCCATAACAGTCTTGCAATACATCATACTTGCAGATTGTCCCGGTTTTGCTGGGACAATCACACTTTTTATAAGCTATCCCAGGATGGGTGTATCTTGGGCATCATCCTGGAATCTGGGCTGTGGGGACAACAGCAGCTTGTCACTCGGTTAAATCTACAATGGGAATGACATCTTCCCCTGCTACTTGTTTAAAATCGATTTATGTTTAGTTTAGCTCTATCAACTTGGGCAAATTGGGCAGGCTCGTAGGGGGCCCCAGTGCATCACTTTGCCCAGGGGCCCATGGTGCCTGTTGCAGAATCAGCACACCCCATATCCCAGTAGGTCAGTGTATGGGAATTCGTCCCTTGTGCTGACATTCAGACTCCGCCGTTCTGGGAATCTGAGGAACATTGTGAGTGAAATGTCACAGACAATAAGACAATCGCAGATTCATGTGAATTCCTTTTTCCTGAAAACAGAACTTACAGCAACCCATATATGTTAGTGTGTACTTTACATCCTGTGGTTCCCAAGGAAACAGGGGTCAGGGCCCCTCCTTCGGGGCCCCTTATAGAACACAGACCAGAAATAGTTCAAATGGTCCATTTCCTGCCACTTCTCAAGGAGACAGTTCCTGGCCGGAACAGTCCACTGACTTCAGTATAGAAGGCAATGTGTTCCAATGTATCCCAGGATTATAGAACCGACGCTGTCATGTGACTCGCCAATCAAGTGCAACACAGACAATAATTATGTCACTTGCTATTTAATATTATCACTATACAGAAGTGTTCGTTGTCATTGTGATATTGAGGACATAATCCGAACATCATGAACAAAGAGTACTGGCACATCACTAGAAGAGCTTACACTCTAATGTCCCACCACAGTCACACACTATGATTATCATACATTTATATAGCTCTGACATATACTCTAGTGTTGTACAGAGAACACTGAGCCAGTCACGTTAGTCTTTGTACCAGAAGAGCTTACACTCTAATGTCCCAACACAGTCACATACTGTTGTTATACATTTTTATAGCTATGACATAGTCTGTAGTGCTGTACAGAGAATATTAAGCCAGTCACATTAGTCTTTGTACCAGAAGAGCTTACACTCTAATGTCCCAAAACACTGTTATTATACATTTTTATAGCTATGACATATTCCGTAGTGCTGTACAGAGAACACTGAGCCAGTCTCGTTAGTCTTTGTACCAGAAGAGCTTGCACTCTAATGTCCCAACACAGTCACACACTATGATTATCATACATTTCTATAGCTCTGACATATACTGTAGTGTTGTACAGAGAATATTAAGCCAGTCACATTAGTCTTTGTACCAGAAGAGCTTGCACTCTAATGTCCCACCATAGTCACACACTATGATTATCATACATTTCTATAGCTCTGACATATACTCTAGTGTTGTACAGAGAACACTGAGCCAGTCACATCAGTCTTTGTACCAGAAGAGCTTGCACTCTAATGTCCCATCACAATGTTATTATACATTTTTATAGCTATGACATAGTCTGTAGTGCTGTACAGAGAACACTGAGCCAGTCACACAAATTTTTCTGCACCAGAGGAGCTTACACTCTAATGTCCCACCATAGTCACACACACTATGATTATCATACATTTATATAGCTCTGACATATACTCTAGTGTTGTACAGAGAACACTGAGCCAGTCACGTTAGTCTTTGTACCAGAAGAGCTTACACTCTAATGTCCCAACACAGTCACATACTGTTTATTATACATTTTTATAGCTATGACATAGTCTGTAGTGCTGTACAGCCAGTCACATTAGTCTTTGTACCAGAAGAGCTTACACTCTAAGTCCCAAAACACTGTTATTATACATTTTTATAGCTATGCGTAGTGCTGTACAGAGAACACTGAGCCAGTCACGTTAGTCTTTGTACCAGAAGAGCTTACACTCTAATGTCCCACACCAGTCACACACTATGATTATCATACATTTCTATAGCTCTGACATATACTGTAGTGTTGTACAGAGAATATTAAGCCAGTCACATTATTCTTTGTACCAGAAGAGCTTACACTCTAATGTCCCACCATAGTCACACACACTGATTATCATACAGTTATATAGCTCTGACATATACTGTAGTGTTGTACAGAGAACACTGAGTCAGTCACATTAGTCTTTCTACCAGAAGAGCTTACACTCTAATGTCCCAACACAGTCACATACTGTTATTATATATTTTTATAGCTATGACATAGTCTGTAGTGCTGTACAGAGAAATATTAAGCCAGCCACATTAGTCTTTGTACCAGAGGAGCTTACACTCTATGCCACTCCACCAAAGACAAGCATTTATAATACTATAGTAGCTCTTTCAGGTAATTGTTAGGACAATATTTTATTAGTATAATGTGGGAACAATGGTAATTATTTCAGGCGTTTTCTGATCTTTCATTGGTATGGGAGGGATGTGATTGGGGTTATACCTTTATAATACAATATAAGAATGTCATTTCTGATCTCCCCAGGTCACTGCTGCAGTGGCACCCTATAATAATACCTGTCTGCCTATGACGTTCAATGGAAGTAATATATAATATTCTAAGGAATGTTGGCAATAGGGAGGCTCTGGCTTTTCCTTGGAACTGGGGTTGTATTCACATGTCACCTAGAAGTAGAATATGATAGTACTTTTTATTGCACTTTAACCCCTTGCCCTCCAGAGGATTCCCCCCCCCCCCCCCCTTCCTGACCAGGCCATTTTTTGCGTTACGGCGCTGCGTTACTTTACCTGACAATTGCGCAGTCATGCAACGCTGCACCCAAATGAAATTTACGCAGTCATGCAATTGCGCAGTCATGAAATTGCGCAGTCATGCAACGCTGCACCCAAATGAAATTTACGTCCTTTTTTTCCACGAATAGAGCTTTCTTTCGGTGGTATTTGATCACCTGTGCGTTTTTAATTTTTGCACTATAAAAAAACAAAAAAAGTCCGACAATTTTGAGAAAAAAAACATATTTTTGACTTTTTGCTGTTACACATGTCCAATAAAAAAAAAATTTTAAAAATCAAATTTCATCATAAATTTAGGGCAAAATATATTCTGCTCCATGTCTTTGCTAAACAAAAATCCCAATACGTGTAAATGAATTGGTTTACATGAAAGTTATAGCGTTTACAAATGGCGGCATATATACTGGGATTTGTTTTTCTTTTTTTTTTTTACTAGTAATGGCAGCAATCAACGACTTATAGCAGGACTGCGGCAGACATTCTGACACTGGGGGGAACTGACTTGGTGTCACTGACATCCCCAGTGACACCAATACAGTGATCAGTACTAATAAAAATCACTGACAGTGTACTAATGACACTGGGCAGGAAGGGGTTAACATGTGGGGTGATCAAAGGGTTAAAGTGGAGCTTCACCCAAAAGGGGAAGTTCTGCTTTAAGGACTGCTCCCCATTAAGGATTGGCACCTTTGGGGGGTGGGAGCAGGTACCCGAATTTGACAGGTACCCGCTCCCACTTCCAGTCCGATCGCCTAGGTCAGTGGTGGGCAACCTTTTTTTTCAACTGAGCCAAATCTCGCCAAAACCACGATTGAAATTTATTTTGAGAGCCACATTTTTAAAACTGAAAATACATAGGATGGTACACTGTTTTTAGTTTCAATAAGTTTTTATAGTAATTCATCCCCCATATAGTAATTCATCCCCCATATAGTAATTCATCCCTCATAGTAATTTCATCCCCCATATAGTAATTAATCCCCCATATAGTAATTCATCCCCCATAGTAATTCATCCCCCATATAGTAATTCATCCCCCATATAGTAATTCATCCCCCCATAGTAAATTAATCCCCCATAAGTCATCCCCCAATAGTAATTCATCCCCCATATAGTAATTCATCCCCCATAGTAATTCATCCCCCATATAGTAATTCCCCATATAGTAATTCATCCCCCATATAGTAATTCATCCCCCATATAGTAATTCATCCCCCATAGTAATTCATCCCCCATATAGTAATTCATCCCCCATATAGTAATTCATCCCCCATAGTCATCCCCCATATAGTAATTCATCCCCCATATAGTAATTCATCCCCCATAGTAATTCATCCCCCATATAGTAATTCATCCCCCATAGTAATTCATCCCCCATATAGTAATTCTATAGTAATCCCCCATATAGTAAATTCCCCCATATAGTAATTCATCCCCATATAGTAATTCATCCCCCTATAGTGATTCATCCCCCATATAGTAATTCATCCCCCATAGTAATTCATCCTCCATATAGTAATTCATCCCCCATATAGTAATTCATCCCCCATATAGTAATTCATCCCCCATAGTAATTAATTCATCCCCCATATAGTAATTCATAGTCCCCCATAGTAATTCATCCCCCATATAGTAATTCATCCCCCATATAGTAATTCATCCCCCATATAGTAATTCATCCCCCATATAGTAATTCCCCCATATCCCCCCCATAGTAATTCATCCCCCATAGTAATTCATCCCCCATATAGTAATTCATCCCCCCTATAGTAATTCATCCCCCCCCTATAGTAATTCATCCCCCATATAGTAATTCATCCCCCATAGTAATTCATCCCCCATATAGTAATTCATCCCCCATAGTAATTCATCCCCCATAGTAATTCATCCCCCATATAGTAATTAATCCCCCATATAGTAATTCATCCCCCATATAGTAATTCATCCCCCATAGTAATTCATAGTAATTCCCCCATATAGTAATTCATCCCCCCCATAGTAATTCATCCCCCATATAGTAATTCATCCCCCATAGTAATTAATCTCCCATATAGTAATTCATCCCCCATATAGTAATTCATCCCCCCTATAGTAATTCATCCCCCATATAGTAATTCATCCCCCCTATAGTAATTCATCCCCCATATTAATTCATCCCTCATATAGTAGTAGTAAGTAAGTAGCAAGTAGTAAGCCAAGTCCCTCCTGTGTCAATTCACTTACCTTTGCTCCACGCGTTCCTCTCGCCGTGTTCCCGCGCCGTTCCGGTCTTCAGGGCGGACTGTGAGAGGAGCCTAGCTCCTCTCACGTTCGTCACGCTGCCCCGCCTACACAAATCCTGACAGCCAATCACTGGCTATCAGGATGTGAGTGGCAGCGAGACTGGCCAATCATTGCATTTGAGCGCGCTGCCCTGGCTGTTTTTTTTTTGGATCACGCTGCAAAGTCCCTGCCGCCCGAGAGGAGGGAGGGGAGCGGGCGCCCGGCACACAAGAGCCGCATTAAAGCATGTAAAGAGCCGCATGTGGCTCGCGAGCCGCGGCTTGCCGACCACTGGCCTAGGTGATTGGAAGCTGAAGGTGTTCTCCCTCCCTCCCTGTAGTCTTGTGGGACACGTGACAGGCCCCAGAAGACTACAGGGCCATTCATGAAGCGCAGCGCTACTCGCTCATGTGCAGTGGGTACCCGGCTGTGAAGCCACAAGCTGTCACAGCTGGGTGCCCACACTGAAGATGCCGGTCTCCTGGAATACAGGGCGGCCGGTGAAACGGGCTGCGGGGGACACACCATGGGACCGAGGGACAGGTAAGTGGCTGTTTTTTAAAAGTCAGCTGCTACAGTTTTTGTAGCTGCTGACTTTTCTTTTTTGACAGCGTGAGTGGAACTCCGCTTTAATTATGTGCTGTTTCATATTATGTGCTGTGTGTGCTTTCAACTGTAAGCACACTGCTTTGTATTGCTGTGCTATGCAGAGCCATACAAAGCAGTGTGCAGGAGCTGACAGGGGCGAGAACTGTATTGTTTACATACAGTTCTCTCCCCCTTCGGTAATACTCGGCGATCACCAAAGTAATCACCAGACGGGACCCGATGATTGACAGCCCCGGCCACAAATGGCGGCGTCCTCTACCCGAAACTGCAAAATCACGTATATACACGTGATTTTGCGCACCCGTGCTGCCTTGTAGCAGTACTTCTGCTGTAGGGCGGACGGGAATCGGTTATGGGCTTGTTCTCACATGTGATGGCACATGTTGGCCCTCTGAAAAGTATATCATAGTGGTTCGCTTTTTAGAGGCGTTTGACAGACGGCGAGGGGGCAATAGGGTTGGTTTACTAAAGGCAAATAGACTGCGCACTTTGCAAGTGCAGTTGCTCCAGAACTTAGTAAATGAGCAGGAGTTCTGTTGATATCCATCATCCAATCATGTGCAAGCAAAAATGGTGTGTGTGTTTTTTTTTGTAATTTTCCTTGCATGTAATTGAGTATTCTTTGCAAAGTGAAGCTTCATTTCATTTATTAGGCTTTTCATTTCATCTCATTTATTTAGCAAATGTCCTTGCAGAGTGCAATTGCAAAGTGCACAGTCTATTTGCCTTTAGTAAAACAACCCCAATGTTTCTTTCATTGGATGTATGCATTGGGGTTGTTTTACTAAAGGCAAATAGACTGTGCACTTTGCAAGTGTAGTGTAGTAAAAGTGGGAAATCTCTGCTGACTTCAGTCATCCAATCGTGTGCAAGCGCAAATGCTGTTTTTTTTTTTTCCTTGCATGTGATTGGATATTGTTTGCAAAGTGAAGATTCATCTCATTTACTAAGCTCTGGAGCAACTGCACTTGCAAAATGCATAGTCTATTTGACTTTAGTAAATCACCCCCATAATGTCACCCCCCCCTCACCTCCTATTTTAACCCCAGAGAGGCACCGCACTGCCTGCGGTTGCAGCATGGCCCCATACACTTAAATGGGACACTTTCAGCAGCCTGCCAAATTCGATATAAGGAATTTTGTCACAGTCATGCCTACTTGGCCGTGGATGTGGCAAAAATTCTGGCTGCATGCCCTTCTTTAGGTAGGATGTCATGGGTGAGGGGCAATAAAAACAGGGCTCAACTGCCTGCTTTAACCACCCTCTGGCCACCCATGTGAATGAACCCTTAAGCATTTTAAAAGTTTTTTTTTATTGCCAGTGTTTTCTGGAGTCCCTTTAATAGGGTCCTTATGCCCAAGAGGTGAGAAGAACCGGCTGATCAGGTGACCATCTGTCTGTAGTCTCTGACCATCTCTTGCAGCATACCTGTAGTCTCTGACCATCTCTTGCATCATGCCCATAGTCTCTGACCATCTCTTGCAGCAAACCTGTACTCTGACCATCTCTTGCAGCATGCCTGTAGTCTCTGACCATCTCTTGCAGCATGCCTGTAGTCCCTGATCATCTCTTACAGCATCTGTAGTCTCCTACCATCTCTTGCAGCATGCCTGTAGTCTCCTACCATCTCTTGCAGCATGCCTGTAGTCCCTGATCATCTCTTACAGCATGCCTGTAGTCCCTGATCATCTCTTACAGCATGCCTGTAGTCTCTGACCATCTCTTGCAGCATGCCTGTAGTCCCTGATCATCTCTTACAGCATGCCTGTAGTCTCCTGACCATCTCTTACAGCATGCCTGTAGTCTCCTACCATCTCTTGTAGCATGCCTGTAGTCTCTGATCATCTCTTACAGCATGCCTGTAGTCTCTGACCATCTCTTGTAGCATGCCTGTAGTCTCTGCAGCATGCCTGTAGTCTCTGACCATCTCTTGTAGCATGCTGTAGTCTCTGACATTCTCTTGTAGCATGCCTGTAGTTTCTGACCATCTCTTGTAGCATGCCTGTAGTCTCTGACCATCTCTTGTAGCATGCCTGTAGTCTGTGACCATCTCTTGCAGCATGCCTGTAGTCTCTGACCATCTCTTGCAGCATGCCCGTAGTCTCTGACCATCTTTTGCAGCATGCCCGTAGTCTCTGACCATCTTTTGCAGCATACCTGTAGTCTCTGACCATCTCTTGTAGCATGCCTGTAGTCTCTGACCATCTCTTGTAGCATGCCTGTGGTCTCTGACCATCTCTTGTAGCATGCCTGTAGTCTCTGACCATCTCTTGTAGCATGCCTGTAGTCTCTGACCATCTCTTGTAGCATGCCTGTAGTCTCTGACCATCTCTTGTAGCATGCCTGTAGTCTCTGACCATCTCTTGCAGCATGCTGTAGTCTCTGACCATCTCTTGTAGCATACCTGTAGTCTCTGACCATCTCTTGCAGCATGCCTGTAGTCTCTGACCATCTCTTGTAGCATGCCTGTGGTCTCTGACCATCTCTTGTAGCATGCCTGTAGTCTCTGACCATCTCTTGTAGCATGCCTGTAGTCTCTGACCATCTCTTGTAGCATACCTGTAGTCTCTGACCATCTCTTGTAGCATACCTGTAGTCTCTGACCATCTCTTGCAGCATGCCTGTAGTCTCTGACCATCTCTTGTAGCATACCTGTAGTCTCTGACCATCTCTTGCAGCATGCCTGTAGTCTCTGACCATCTCTTGTAGCATACCTGTAGTCTCTGACCATCTCTTGTAGCATACCTGTAGTCTCTGACCATCTTTTGCAGGTCTGACAGCTTTCTGTAGCATTACATTTACTAAATATTATGTGTCACCCTTTAGAGATTGGGCAGCATTTGAGGCCCCTATATCATGAAATATACCCCTCACTGTTATAGAAGGTCATCCGGTATCAGTAGGTGTCAGGAACAACTTTGTAACCTGTGCACAGGACATTGCCCTATGGCAACCAGCCAGGTCTGTCTGTGTGAGCCATATACTGTATGTTTCTTAAAGCAGACCTGTCATATATATATTTATCCGTGCATGCTGAGTAATGTGTAAGTGTAACACTTCCAGAGAATTATTACCACTCACAGAGATCACAGTACTCCCCCTGACAGTGCCTCCATCTGTTTTTCTCTCCAGCAGGACGTCACTATTTTTGTTTAGGCATCTCTCCTGGATCACCATCTTCTTCCTGGACTGAGATGCCACCTCAGAAATGACACGATCATATAAATACTGGTGCCTGTGCAGATTTTGGCTGTGTTCACAATTGTCTGACACAGATCAGCCCCTGCTGCCGCCTTTCATTTTGTGAGTTGCTACAAAGTTACAATGTTGCAGTCTGAACACTAGTGGAGAGGAGACTGAGGAAATGTTTCTTCCTCCTTGCAGCAGACTGATGGCATCATCTCAGCCTAGGCAAAGTCACTGACTCGGGCTCAAGGATGGCTTTTTAATGGTAAAAGGTGGAGTTTTTTTGAACAATGACACAGTTGCTGGAGAAGACAGGAATTTACTCATTATTATTATACAGTATTTATGGGGACTTGTAAAGTTACTGACTTTAATGATGACAATAAGCTGTCATGTGCAATGACCTGGTGAGGGAAATGATGACTCCAGTCTGTAATAATTGCCTTCTGGGATGTAGTAGCCCATCCTGCCTCCCCAGCTACCTGGATCCGCTCCCCTCCACCCCTCCCCGGCCCGGCCCAGGCTCTGCTGGAACGTGTTTGAGGCTGCAGAACATTCTCTGCCCCCCCCTCCCTCTCGTTCTGCTGGCTTGTGTTTTTGTCAAGCGGCACAGCTGCAGTTGTGTGTTTTTCCCCCTCTCGGCTCATTATGTAATGGCAGCGATATGAGGTGACAAAGCTGGAGAGTTCTCGTTTGTGGCAACGTTTTAAAGAGGACGAATAAGGAGCCAAGACGCAGGGCAGAAGGGCAGCCCGACATCGGGGGAGCAGCTGAGAGGTAACCGGAGGAAGCCTGGGGATGGGGATGAGTAGGGATTGTTATGCTTAGGATGTTTTCTTTCAACTTTCCGTGAACTTGTGTCTCTCTCTGAGCTCTTCTTTGCTACGGGGCGAGGAGAAATTTGATCAAATTTTTTGTATCCTTTTTTTTTTTTTATTGTGCACTTAGCAGGATAAATTAGAGGAGTTCAGATCTTATTTTCAGATTGTGTGAAATATCATCCTATGTATGACCGGCAATCCGAAGAATTGTGCGACTTGAAGTAACACAGTTGAGTACTTTGACATTACAGTTGATTTTTTATATTTGCAAAAACAGTTAAATTATAGGGACAAGCTTTTGGGGGATCACCCCCTTCTCTACTATCCTGGCAGTACTCAAGTACACGCCGAAAGCTTTTCACAGAAGTAAAAATTAAAAAAAGAGTAAAAATAAAAAAATAATAAAAGTTCAATTCGACAATTTGTAAAGTCTTCTTTTACTACGATTTTTCTTTTTACTTTTTTTATCTTCTCTGTTTCTTTTCTATTTTTTTCTATTTGTATCTATCTATTTTTTTCTTTTCCCTATTTTTTTCAATTTTTTTTATATTTCAATTTTTTTGTCTTTTCTCTTTTTTTCTGTCTTGTTTTTTTTCTATTTTTTTCTCTTCTTTTTTTTTTTTTTGCTTTTCTTTTTTTTTATCTCTTCCCTATTTTTATTTTTTAATTTTTTTTATTATCTTCTCTATTTTTTTTTCTATTGGTTGAACTAGATGGATTTATGTATATTTTCAACCTGACCAGCTATGTAAATAACTATGTAACTGTAAGTATCTCAGACAATACTCAGCTGTGTTGTTGCAAGTGCACTGCTACGGCCAACTTGGAGTCAAACGTGTTCTTCAGAAGGAGCTCCAACATTTTCTATTACCTGGAGACATCACTTTATATTACTTTTCTGGTTCAATCTGCAAACAAGTTTTTAAAGACAAGATTACTCTTTGGCATAATCGGTACAATTTATAGAACAGTCTTTCTTACCAAAAATTGTTCACAGTTCTGATGGGTTGCTTGTCTTATATCTGTGGGGTGCTTCTAGGTACAAAAGCAGACGCTAAAGCAAATCTACTCAATCAATAAACCGCGAATGTATGGGGTCTTTTTATCTGTCACAGGATTCAGGC